GCCTCTGTCTCCCAAAGTGCTGAGATTACACGTGTGAGCCACCGTGGCCGGCAGTCCTGACTACTTTCAGTGGAGCTACATGAAGCACACAGAGGTTAAGGGACACTGGAAGCTGACATCACCAAGAATTCAGTGCCCAGAAGTCTGCAGTTTATCAGAATGTAAAGAATGTGAACATGGAATTTAGCCTGCAGATTTGCATTTGTTATCAAATGTCCTCAAGCAAGTTCCATTAAGAACATAAATTAAGCCTTTACCCTTTTACATTATCACTGTTGTGACTTTCCACATAGTTTTCTAAGGAAAGTTATTAGAAGGTTGACCTCTAGAGATAACAGGCCTGTTCTGCCCAGCCTGAGTCAGCAGCGACCCTGCATCCCATCCTGGGTCCTAGCCCTCCCCCATTCTCTGTCTGGCAGGGTCACTCCGAAGGATGGCAATCGTTTCTAGGAAAAAGGCAACAGGGTAATCTCCAGGGACCTGGGAGATGGGGCCAGACTGGCAAATGTTCCTTGAGTCTTATTATGAGCCAGACATACGATAGACAGAGATTAAGGGATGCCCCTTCCCTAAGAAATTCACAGAGTAAAATAACCCAAATGCCTACCAACTGACGATAAACTGTGGTTTATTCATAGGATGGGATATAATTCAGCCATAAAAAGGAGTAAAGTACACGCTACAATGTGGATGAACCTTGAAAACAGTATTCTGAGTGAAAGCTGCCCAACACAAAAAGCGATATATTGTACGACTCCATTTAGGTGAAACATTCAAAATAGGCAAACCCATAGAGAAAGAAAATAGATTAAGGATACAAAAATTAGCTGGGCATGGTGGCATGCACGTGTAATCCCAGCTACTCAGGAGGCTGAGGCCTGAGATTCACTTGAACTGAGGAGATGGAGGTTGCAGTCAGCCGAGATCAAGCCACTGCACTCCAGCCTAGGTGACAGAGCAAGACTCCATCTCAAAAAAAAAAAAAAAATTCGAAGATGCCAGGGGATAGAGGAGGAGGAGCAATGGGAGAAAGAAAGAGTGACTTACGTCAGAGCAAGTTAACAACTTAGATATTAGACAACTGCATTCCCTAACATCTCTGGCCGGAGGAATTACATACCTGACTCCTTTTCTGAATACTCCAGGTTCTCACCATGTTGCAAGGCTCCCCCTCTGTAATCTCAGATTACTAATTTCTTTCTTTCTTTTTCAAGACGTAGTCTCCCTCTGTCACCCAGGCTGGAGTGCAGTGGCTCCATCTTGACTCACTGCAACCTCCCCTCCCAGGTTCAAACGACTCTCGTGCCTTAGCCTCCCGAGGGGCTGAGATTACAGGCACCTGACACCATGTCTGGGGAATTTTTTGTGTTTTTAGTAGAGACAGGGTTTCACCAATTTAGCCAGGTGGTCTAGATTTCCTGACCTCGTGATCCACCTGCCTCGGCCTCCCAACGTGCTGGAATTACGGGTGTGAGCCACTGTGCCTCCTGACCTCGTGATCCACCTGCCTCAGCCTCCCAAAGCGCTGGAATTACAGGTGTGAGGCATTGTGCCTGACACTGATTACTAATTTCTTATACAGACCACATCATCCAGCTCTGGGCTCTGATTTTTTTGTTTGTTTTTCTTTTGAGACAGAGTCTTGTTCTCTTGCCCAGGCTGGAGTGCAGTGGCACGATCTCGGCTCACTGCAACCTTCGCCTCCTGGGTTCAAGTGATTCTCCTGCCTCAGCCTCCCTAGTAGCTGGGATCACAAGCACATGCCATCACATCCAGCTAATTTTTTGTATTTTTTGGAGAGATAGGGGTTTCACCATGCTGGCCAAGCTGGTCTTGAACTTCTGACCCCAAGTGATCTGCCCGCCTTGACCTCCCAAAGTTCTGGAATTACAGGCATGAGCCACCTTACCTGGCCTGGGCTTTGATTGAATAAAAGCCCTGATTTTATAAATCAGGCCCTGGTGTTTCCTCAGTACTAACCCAGATAACCTATATTTTCCTAAAGAAGGAGTTCTCTTCTCAAGAGGAACTCTGGTGCTAGCATTTAAAGTAATTCTTCTCATCATTAAAGTAACAGAGTAATTTGGTCAAATTTAACTAATTTTTAAAGTTACCATGAACAATACACATTATTCAGTCAAGCAAAGAGCTAAGGTGAGACTATATTAGTTTAATAAAATCCTTTATTCAACATTTACTCAATAAACTTTTACTGATTGCCTCCTAAAAAAAAGAATAGGCTGGGCGTGGTGGCTCACACCTGTAATCTCAGCACTTTGGGAGGCCGACGTGGACAGATCCTTTGAGGACAGAGGTTCAAGCCCAGCCTGGTCAACAAGGTAAAATGCCATCTCTACTAAAAATAAAAAAATTAGCCGGGTGTGGTGGCAGATGCCGGTAAGCCCAGCTACTTGGGAGGCTGAGGCAGGAGAATCTCTTGAACCTGGGAGGCAGAGGCTGCAGTGAGCCAAGATCTCACCACTTCACTCCAGCCTGGGCAACAGAGTGAGACTCGGTCTCAAAAAAACAAAAACAAAAGGAAAAAAGATCAGCCTAGGCAACACAGTGAGATGTCGTCTCTAAAAAATAAAAAATAAAAAAAAAATATTTTTGACTTTAGTTTTGAATAGTCAATGCATTCACATGGTACAAAATAGAAAAGTTGGCCAGATGTGGTGGCTCATGCTTGTAATCACAGGACTTTGGGAGGTTGAGGTGGGTAGATTGCTAGAGCCCAGGAGTTTGAGATCAGCCTGGGCAACATGAAACCCCATCTCTACTAAAAATACAAAAAGCAGCTAGGTGTGGTGGCACCCATGCCCATAGTCCCAGCTACTTAGGAGGCTGAGGCAGGAGGATTACTTGAGCCCAGGAGCTGGAGCTTGCAGTGAGCCATGATCAGGTCACTGCATGCCAGCCTGGGCAGCAGAGCAAGACCTCGTCTTGAAACAAACAAATGAACAAAAAAATAGAAAAGTTACAGCAAAATAAAACTCTCCCTCTCTTCCCTGTCTCCACATTACCCAATCCCTGTCCCGGAAGAGATCCCTATTGCTGGTTTCTTGTATTTTTTTCTTTGTTTTGATGGAGTCTCATTCTGTTGCTCAGGCTGCAATGCAGTGGTGCAATCTCAGCTCACAGCAACCTCCGTCCGCTGGGTTCATGCGATTCTCTTGCCTCAGCCTCCTGAGTAGCTGGGATTGCAGCCGCCCACCACCACGCCCAGCTAATTTTAGCAGTCTTCTTGTTGTTGTTGCTTTGAGACAGGGTCTCACTCTGTTGCTCAGGCTGGAGTGCTGTGGTGAGATTTCAGCTAATTACAACCTCTGCCTCCCGGGTTCAAGCAATTCTTCTGCCTCGGCCCCCCAAGTTGCTGGGATTACAGGCACTCACCACCATTCCCAGCAAATTTTGTATTTTTAATAGAGACAGGGTTTCACCATGTTGATCAGGCTGGTCTCAAACTCCTAACCTTGTGATCCGCCCGCCTTGGCCTCCCAAAGTGCTGGGATTACAGGTGTGGGCCACCGCGCCTGGCCTAACTGTAGTATTTTTAGTAGAGACAGGTTTTTGCCATGTTGGCAAGGCTGGTCTCAAACTCCTGACCAGCCGAGGCGGGTGGATTGCCTGAGCTCAGGAATTCAAGACCATCCTACGCAACATGGTGAAACCCTATCTCTACTAAAATACAAAAAATTAGCTGGGCGTGGTGGTTTACACCTGTAGTTCCAGCTACCTGGGAGGCTGAGTCAGGAGAATTGCTTGAACCCAGGAGGCGGAGGTGGCAGTGAGCTAAGATTGCACCATTCTACTCCAGCCTGGGCAACAGAGCAAGACTCTCTGTCTCAAAATAAACAAACAAGCAAAAACCAAAAATCTTAGAGATCCTTCCAAATTTGTAGAGGAAGAATTAGTTCATTTTGAAAGTGGTTCTAGATGATATCCCACGTTTTGTGAACCCATTTCCAATCAATGGATATTTAAGTTGTTTCCAATTTTTCCTTCTTATCAAATTCTGCCAAGAATAATCTTATTTATATTACATTTCACACATGTATGGATTTACCTGTTGGTATAATTCCGAAAAGTGCAATTGCTACATTATAGAGTTTGTGCTTTTAAAATTTTGATCGATATTATCACATTGCCCACAATAGAGGTTGTACCAATTTACCATCAGCAAGCGGGGAAAGAGCCTGATTACCCACATTTGGGATAATGTGTTTGGAAATACTTTCAGAGTCAGACCATACAAGGCCTTGTATACAAAGCTAGGAAATTTGAACTTGAGCCATGGACCATGGAAACCCATGGAACGGTGTACGTCGTGGATAAGGAAGATTGTTTCTGAGCTTTGAGAGAAAGCTTATTTTCATGATGACATCCAATAAATTGTTTAGGGGATTTTTATTCTCCAGCAGGCATGAGTAATGAATAATGTGATGAATCAGAGAGGGGACCAAATATCCATTAGGATTTCAGCCGCGCTGGGGACAGGATGGGTATCATTTGCGCACAGCTGACACTTGAAACAATGGGCTGGGGTGTGAGAGCCCCTTGGTTTCTTTACCATCTTCCTGCCTTCCTGCCACACTCTAACCTTCCTGCCATTTTTCTTTTATCACACCTTTCCCACATGCTGATGTCTTTGCAGGAAACATACAGCCCTCAGGGTAATGGCATAAAACGAACAGCAAGGACTTTTTATCCACCGCTAACAGTTGACTGAAAGATAAGCAGACAGGTAATATAGCAACTTTATCTTTGCCTGGAAGACCATTTGACAAATGAATAAATAGGCTTTGGAGCAGGCATTGAACAAAGAGCTGGGTGACACAGAAACGCAGACACTGTCAAGCTGAGTCTTTGTTTCTTCAACAAAAGGTAGTTGCCATTATTTGATGGAAGGAAGATGGATGATGATGGGTGGACATGAGGGCACCCACATATGAAAGTCCCAAGAGCGAGCTGCATCCAGAGGCCCCAGCAGTGGTTCAAGCATGAGTGCAGTGAGCTTGGTACTCCTGGTGCTTGCTCTGAGGTTTAGGGCTGCCACTGCCGAGCCAGAGGAGGGCAGCTTCTGCTCTAAGAGCCAGGTGGCCTTCAGAGATGCTTGCTACGAATTTGTGCCACTCGGACGCACCTTCCACGATGCCCAGAGCTGGTGCGAGGGGCAAGGAGGCCATTTGGTCTTCATTCACGATGAAGGCACCCAGCAGTTTCTGCAGAAGCACATCTCCCAGGACAGGGAATGGTGGATTGGACTGACCTGGAATTTGGCATGGAATGGAACCACGGAAGGTAGGCACTGTGATCGCTGTGTTTTACGAGACACGTGTGCTTGCAATTCTTACCGTCACTTCTCACCCAAAGTAACATGGAACAAATGAGTATGTCTTAATTCTCATGGTATGGATACCCTTCCCTCTGGTTGTTTGTAGATTAAATAAAACAATTCGTGTCTAATGCCTAGCACAGAATCTGACACATAACTGACACTCTAGAAATGTTCACTTCTTTGCATGTTGCTAATAACAATACTCTGACTGCTTCCATTCTTGCTAGAATAGTGCCAGGCACTACGTGAGTGCTTCACGGTCATTCTCATGTTGAATCCTTACAACGGGAAAATTAAGTCCCCATTTTACAGTCTCAGAAAATAATGACTAAGTTTTTCTTTTTTTTTTTTTTAGACAGAGTCTTACTCTGTCACCAGGCTGGAGTGCAGTGGTGTGATCTTGGCTGACTGCAACCTCCGCCTCCGGGGTTCAAGCGAGTCACCTCTCTCAGCCTCCTGAGTAGCTGGGACTACAGGCACATTCCACCACACCCAGCTAAGTTTTTTTGCAATTTTTTTTTAGTAGAGATGGAATTTCACCATGTTGGCCAGGCTGGGACTAAGCTGTTTTTTAAAGTGTCCCACCTGTCTTTCCCCACTTGGTGTGAGATTAAAGCAGGCCAAGCGCTTAGCATAGCTCCATTCACGGTCTGATTTTAATGGTCCTGAAAGTCTTAGTTCTCCTATATGCTCTGGGGCTCTTTTCCCGAGCCGAGTGCAGTCAGGTGAGCCCTTCTCTCTGAGCCGGCAGGGCTCTGTTCTCACTTCCAAGGCAGTGCTTTCGGTGTGGCTTAAATGGCTTGTTTGTCTGTCTCCCTCTTAACCTACAAGCCCTTCAAGGAAAGAACTGTACTCTGGCCATTTTTGTTTCCCAGACACAACTGAGAATGGACAAGGAGACTAGGCACAGTGGTTCATGCCTGTAATCCCAGCTCTTTGGGAGGCCAAGGCGGGTAGATCACTTGAGGTTGGGAGTTCGAGACCAGACTGACCAACATGGTGAAACCTCGTCTGTACTAAACACACAAAAAGTAGCTGGGCGTGGTGGCATGCACCTGTAATCCCAGTGACTCAGGAGGCTGAGACAGGAGAATTGCTAGAACCCAGGAGACAGAGGTTGTGGTGAGCCAAGGTCATGCCATTGCACTCCAGCCTGGGCAACAGAGAGAGACACTGTCTCAAAAAAA